AATACATAATGAATAATTTATTTCAAACCTGTCAATAAAGCCATATTAAGTAATTCTTTAGGATTAAAAAAAGTAATTCTTTAGGATTAATGCATCAAATTACCAATAATTAATTGATTTAGTGGGAAGATACACTAGATTTCTTAAGTAAGGTTAGAAGTTTAAATCTTGATATTTGTGAATGAAACAAACTGAGTTGAGAAAGTCGTCCTTATTTCTATCGTAGCCGATTTAGATTAATCGATCCATAAATCGAATATTAGTGATTATAAAACAATAATGCATCAAATTACTTCCTTTATGGCAACACCAAGGCCGCTACTCTAAGTGGAGATTATGCCTTCCTAAATGTGTGGGGTTTGTGCACTTAACGCGAAAACCCATATCCCTAATTATTCATTAGAAAAAGAATGATCAAGTCGTGGATTAGCTGGAGAATACTTAACCGACAATGCCATGGGCACCTTCTTAGTTAAGCTGGCAGCATCAAACAAGTATATTCAATTGTCCCCAAGGGCTGAGATTAATCCAGAATCTTCATAGGGGTTGTTTAATTTGTCCCTTAGCAACAACTGTGAGAAGTGGTATTGATGGTGCAGTTTGTTTTATTTTTTTATTACGAGTGATGATTATAAGGTAGTATATGTTTAAAATCTTTTTAACTAACTGACAATGAATATACATATATCTTGCAAGCACAACTATTTAAACTCAAAAGTTTTGAAAAGAATTATGTTTTACTATTGAGGTCGTTTAATAAATTCAATTTTCAAAATTAGAAAAGGAATCGAAATCTGGAATTGAAGGTTCATTACACAAGCACTTTGTGAACAAAATGCAGTGGACGTCCTTTTTGTTTGATGGTTTTAATGATGATATTTGAGACTCAACCAAAGTCCACCTCTTCTACCTTGGCTTTCTCCAATTTGATCCGCTAGTTTAGTCACCAAGACATGAGGATATGCTGCGTTTTGTTTTAATGGTTCGCACATTCCCGCATGTTAATGTATGGTACATTCAATCAACAACAAAAAGATCACTATTATAAATGTCATAATTTTGCAAACTTAAAACAAACCGTGTATTGCTGATCATATCAGTGAGCTAAAAGTGCCAAAGTTGCTGCAGATTGTGGAGTAGTGATGGCAAGTGATGTTCAGTGGGTTTGACCATCCAATTCTTTTCTTCTTCTTTTTATCTATTTTTTGTGCCACAAACTTTGGGTTTTCCAGACGTGATTGATGAGGATACCCATCATTTAGCTTTTGAAACCCATTATCCATGGCCTAGCTAGCTTTCATTTAACAAAAATGATAGTAGTAGTAGATTCAATTTTTTTTTAATATAAGTTAATAATATAAAACTTTTATATGAGAGGTATACAATCAACAAAATAAATAATTAATGAAAAAAATTTAAATTTCAAAATAAATACGTATCATCATAAACTTATTTTAGATCAGCCACTGCAAGCCACCCAGACATGCAGGGGAGGTGTCCCTAGAAACTTCTCTCAGTTGCTTCACTTTTTACAGGTTAAACACATGGCTTCCGTCTCTTTAAAACAGATAAAAGATAAGATTCTTGCTATATGTAGAATGATCTTAATTGTACTTTCATGGAAATTACATCCCCGTTTATATATTTATAATATCTAGGAGGAGAGAAAGTGTATGAATGATGTACAAGCAGCAAGAAGAGCGTTTATTTTTGGAGTGCACACATATACGTTAATAATACAAAATTTTTAAATAAGATGAGCACAAATAATTTCAAGGTGGTATCATCAGTAAAATATGTAATTAATTTAAGAAAACTTAAATTTTAAAGTAAACACAAAATTTTAAAATAGACACTATTAATAAAATAATTAATAAACTAAAAAATTTAAATTAAAAATAGACACATCACTACTCTCAGGTCTCGATGGATCCGCCACTGCATGCAAAGCTTATTCATTGTTTGAGAAATGACATTTAGCACATGATCCATGGACCAGGAATACCATTGAGAAACACTTAAAAGCATTAACCAAAGAATAAAACTAAAAGCATAAGGATAACCTACATATTTTCATATTTTTGTTTTGATTATTTTATTATTATTATTTTTTCAAAATCATATCTAATGTTAGGTATTATTTATGTTTTAGTCATCCACAAGAAAAAAAATTAACATTAATACTGATATGAAAAATAAAAAATCTACATATAGCCTTATATGTTGCTGATGTGTAAATCAATGGGCCAAATAAATCATTAAAAAATACCACTATGTTGTTGATGTAGAAATAAGAATTCATTGAGTGACCTTAGCGGCAAAAAGAAATATTGTTCTCTTAGAAGGCTCAGATTCGAACAATTACGTTTGTAGAGTATGTGTACGTTGTCAATATGATAAGAAATCTAAATATATATTACCTTGTAATCACTACAAATTGTAAAATAATAATAATAATAATAATAATAAAAATGTTCATCAACATTACCATTAACTTTTTAATGGCAGTGACAAATACATAAATGAAATCTAATATTTAGTATAATTTTGAAAAGAATAATAGTTGAGTGAAAAGAATAATAGTCTCAATGGTATTAACATATATGGTCTTAGAAGATCAAAACTGAAGCATATCTGCATTATTGGAGTTATAATGAATCACAGTTTGCTGGGATCCGTCTTTCAATTTACACCACAACTCAGTTGAATGGGATGGAGTCTGTTTCCAGGGGGAAAAAATAGACCATAGAGTTAATGGGCAGTGATACCAAATACATGATGAATATGATAGGGCCCATGTAAAGGCCGAAACCGAAGTCAAAAAGGTTGATAAAGGAACCAACTTCAAGCTCACAACCACACAAATATGAATAATTGTAACAAAAGCTGGGTTGGCAGAAACATAGCCGGTAATGGATTTTGTATAATCCAACCATGAATTGATGTTATATCAAAGTCAAGGTACATGGATTTGCAAGCAAAGATGTGTTCGAGGAGAAATTATTATTTGAACCCGATTTATCACGTCAATCACAGCTAATAAGATTCATCCATCTTAAAATAACTTTTAAATAACTATCCACTCATTATTTACACGCAAGAAATACGTAAAGATTCACTTTAAAAAAATGAGATAGATGTATTTTTTTGATTGAGACTACTGATAATATGATGAGTCATGTCATCTAATATTTTTTCGTGTTAGTAGGATTTTTGTTTTATCAAAAAAATTCCCATCAATTTTTTTTACTTATTTTAATGATTTGAGGATGGCATGTTTTGGACGTTCATTCCTATTTGAACTCTAACAATTAGGGATGTGTATGGTTCATGTCAAATTAAAGCGTATCGAATTAGGATTTTAGTCGATACACAACATATACACATAACTTTTATTTTTATTTGGTAAAATATAAATTTAATTAAAAAAGAGAGATTAATATTATTGCAATTATTTTTAAATATACAAGAAATAATTATTTCGAGTCGAGTTAATGACTTTTAACCCTAAATTCAAACTCAACATGAACTGATACTTAAAAAAAATCTTAAATTGACCCAAATATAATTTTTTCCTAAAAAAACGTGACCTTATAAAATCAGATCTAGTGAAAACTTATCAGATCCAAGACTCATGTACATCCCTAACATCAATTGTTGGTGCTTGAATTAGTTAACAACATTTCATCAGGATAAAAAATTGTGACCCAACATGATTTGATAGGATCTTGAGTTCTTTTAATGAAATTTTGATTGTTAATTTAGGAAAAATTTGTCATGTCATGGTCTAAAATAATTATAAAAATGATTTATCATGTATTAATATATTATTAATTAATTTTTGAATTTTTGATTTAATATATAGAAAAATAGAATAAAAAGTACTCAAATGATAATATTAAATTAAAATTTAATTTTATATTATTAAATTGGATAAATAAACATTTGATTTAATTATTTTTTAATTTTAAAAATTAAGTGAATTATTAAATTTTTTCTTAAATCAGGTTATATCTGAAATTAAATCAGATTTTTAATTTAATTTTTAGATCAAGTTCGGATTGAATAAAAATATTTTAAACCCGTTTTTTTATAGTATTACTGTAGAGTAAACCAGACTTTTAAACTTTATTGGTTATGTTTCAAGGCCATCAAGCCCTGGTCAATTTGGGCTGGGTTTCTCATTCAAACAATTTAGTAAATGGTAAATATAAGTTTTTGTACCTAACTTTTTTTTTTATTAATTTAGAGTAAATACAAAGCAGTACTTGTTTAAATATAACTCTCAACCATTTGACGTTGAACTCTCGTACACTTAACATTCAAGATGTTTGAACTCGAGACCTAAGGAATAACATCAATTCTTTTGCTACCAAGGTGGTTTGGTTTAGTTCGTTCTCTAAAATATTATTTACTCTTAAGCAAACAATTGTGTTAACAACGAAATAAAAGCCCATAACGTATTTAAATTTAACATATTTATATTGATATTTAAAGAATTCTTTTTAACTAATAACTAGTTGATTTAGTTGGACGAGTCATTAGAACCCTTTAAATTTGTTTAAGGCTTCTTATCCCGGTGTTTACAAATGAAGCAAATTGAGTTAAAAGAGTCACTCTCGTAAAACTTGATTAGGATTCGTCGAGATATAGATTGAATATGGATTGTTATACCAAAAGTAATTTTTTTTCTAAATTGATATTCAAACTTTGATTTTATTTACTAATTTTTTAATAGTACTAATTTTTAGTTTTACTCTTAAACTTTAAATATAATATTATTTTGAACCAATACTTTAAATAAAATAACATTTTCATAATTAGATTTTAAATAAAATATCAATATAAATTAAACAATCAAAATCCAATTCATGTGTGCAATGCGTACTCTCCACTTCTACCCTGAAAATATAATTACATGCGCTAAATCTCCACATTAATCATTTTCTTTCTGCCCTGTTTTTTGACTTTACAATCATAATTGAAGTAAACTATGAGCGTTATTTAGTTGCTAGCGGCAAAGAATCTTTGCCTTGCAAATCCATGGAAGTGATTTTCTCCTTAATGATTTCAATGATTTGAGCGGCAGATGGCCTAACAGTGAGAGACTGGTGAAGGCAGAGTGCAGCAATCGAAAGCAAAACCCTGGCTTCTTCCAAGTCAAACTCTCCACACAGGCGTGGATCCACCAATGCCGCCACTTTCTCCTCCGCCCCATGTTGGTCTATGTCCCTTAAACACGGTGCCACAATCGAAGTCAATAGCTGTCCCCTCTCCGGACAAAAGGCCTTCATTCCCGTCACCAGCTCCAACATTATCACACCCAAGCTGTACACATCGTTCTTCTTGGAAGCCAACCCGGTTCTCAAGTAATGAGGGTCAGTGTACCCCGGTGATCCCACCATCACTTGCTTCGAACACAAAGGCGGCTTCACCGTCGACGAAAATCCCATCTTCGCCGACCCGAAATCGCACAGCTTGCAATTGAAATACTCGTCCAGCAACACGTTTGATGGTTTGATGTCCCCGTGGACTATTTGGAGGGTACATTTTTCGTGTAGGTATTCTATGGCTTGAGCTAGTTGGAATGCTATGGCAGTTCGGGTTTTCCACGAAAGTAGGTGTAGTTTCTCTTGTAAGTTCCCATTGGGAACGTACTCAAACACCATGGCACCTTCATCTGGACACACAAATTAATACAGTTTCAATCAATAAACAAAGTAAAAGACTTAAGCGAACGAGTCACGTAACGTACCGAGATCATCGCAGTAACCGAGAAGCTTGACGATGTTGTGGTGACGAAGGCGGAGCAAGATATCGAGTTCTTGTTTGAACACTTGATTCAGTCGATCACTTCTGGCATGGATCTTGACCGCTCCTTGTCGTTGGTCAGAACCAGACAACTTAGCCAAGTAGACATTGCTAAAACCTCCACGACCAATCAGACGGGAGAAACCCTTGGTGAAAAACTCAATCTCTTCCCATCTGAATTTCCTGACAAACACCTCGCCTTCAACGCCGCCATCTTTTCCCTTGCTCTGATCGGGCCGAACGGTTGACGTTGATTTGCAGCATTCGAGTTTGAAGCATCTGAGACACGACGACCCCATTGCAAACGACAAGACAAGAGAAACAGAGAAACGAGCGGTTGGGTTGTTTTCAAAGGGATTGTGAGCGGATCAGTGAAGAAGATAGAATGGGCATTTGGTTTGGTAGCAATAAGAACACGGAAATGGAAGGGATGGGAGCAGCAGACAGATTTTGAAACCTTGGATCTTGTCAAATAGTCAAAGATGTAACCATGGGGATGGAAGCCTCGTAGGAAAGCCAAACCATTTCATTTTTGCATAATAAGTACTAAATAGCCCCGTCAAGTATGATTTTCTAATAAAAACAAGAGAAAATCGCCTCAGTGACCAATAAAATCGCAACGCGATATCAAAATCGCAACGCGATTTAGAAAATCGCAACGTTAAAAAGAAAATCGCAACGGCCACGGCCACGACCACGACCACGACCACGACCCGAGACGGCGGCGGCGGCGGCGCGCGAGAGTCCCCTTGTCCTCTTTCACTCAACAAGGAAGTGCAAAATACAAGCCTTAAATATAATTCCCAATAGTGTTTCCAATACTATGTGGGATTGAGCATTACCAACACTTGTTCCCAATATCATTATTCTTCATAAGTTATCATCCATTACAATATGAATTATCGATAATAAATTAATTCATTTTAATAAGTATTTAAAATTATAACTTGATAAATACATGAAATAATTCTATTATTAAATAAAAAATATATTTTTTATATTAAAATTATTGAGATAGATATTTACTATAAAAGTAAAAGATTTTTTTTTTCACGTACAACCTCTATGTGAATTAGTTTCACAATAAGGTATCGGTTATGCATTGGATTCTTTCGTATTAGATGGTCTTTAATAAGATCATCATCATCATTCTTTTGTTCAACAATACCATATATTAATGAGGTATATTGGTTCATTAACACGACTAATTCATATTGTAATGGATGATAACTTATGAAGAATAATGATATTTGGAACAAGTGTTGGTAATGCTCAATCCCACATAGTATTGGAAATACTATTGGGAATGGTATTTAAGGCTTGTATTTTGCACTTCCTTGTTGAGTGAAAGAGGACAAGGGGGACTCTCGCGCGCCGCCGCCGCCGCCGCCGCCGTCTCGTCTCGGGTCGTGGTCGTGGTCGTGGTCGTGGTCGTGGTCGTGGTCGTGGTCGTGGTCGTGGTCGTGGTCGTGGTCGTGGTCGTGGTCGTGGTCGTGGTCGTGGTAATACGTGTCTTCGACACGTCCGCGCGGATACTATCTTTTTAGAGAAAATTCTTAAGAAACAAAATTTTTTTAACTATTCTTTTGACCGTTGCGATTTTATTTTCAACGTTGCGATTCTATAAATCGCATTGCGATTCTCTCAGTCGCATTGCGATTCTCTCAGTCGCATTGCGATTTTCTTCTAAATCGCGTTGCGAACTTGGAAGCTCGCGTTGCGATTTTCTTTTGACCGTTGCGATTTTCTAAATCGCGTTGCGATTTTGATATCGCGTTGCGATTTTATTGGTCATTTTGGCAAATCCAAAAAAAAGTTGGTTAAAATCGTATATTATAAGGTATTTTTGGTCACTGAGACGATTTTCTCTAAAAACAATTCAACATTTAGATAATATATTTTCAAAAACTCTCAAACATTAATAACGAATATTCAAATATTTGTGTAAATATTATACTTCAATTTAATATCTTTAAGAATAATAACTATCTTTTCTATTATTGAGCACATTTGATTTGTGCATGTTCGAATTTAAAAAAAAATGTTCTGATCCAAATTAAATAATTATAAAACTATATTTTTTATGTGTTTATATATTATTAGTTCAATTTTGATAAAACAAATACGTGTAAACAATTAGAATATAAGATATTAAAATTATATTATATTAAAATTTATTTTTTATGTTTACTAAGTTGAATAAAATAATATTTTATGATTTTTTATATTTTACAAAAATATATAAAAAATTAAAAATTATATTAAACCGATTATATCAAGGTAAGATTATTAATTAAATTTTTAGGTTAAATAAAAAAATATTTTTTTTGAATAATTCCTACCTAGAGGAGGGAGAAGGAGAATTTTGCTCACAATGGGTAATGAACCCACAACTTTAGGGAGAGGAGATGTGCCAAAGGATATCTTTTAACCATATGCTCTAAATATTTTTAAATTTGAATTAGATTGAAATTAGTTTTATTATTATAATATCATATTGAGTTCAGATCAACCAAAAACCCACATTAATCTATCACGTTTCAATCTTAAGGTACATGAGTGGGGATGTACATTTGACCCGAACCTAACATGTTCAAAATTCAAAATTTGACCTAGAAATACGAATCACGTTTCGGGTTAAATGAAAGCACTCTAAACTCATTTTAGATGACAGATAGAGAGATCATACTCTAATCAAATTTGAATAGGACAAAATTTTGATCCAATTCGACTACGACCATCCATGTACATGAGGCTTTCTTATGATTTTTTTTCTTTATTTAATAAAATTTAAAAATTTTATTTGATTGAAAAAGGAAAACATTCATAGTGGGATGCCATTCGCCAAGCGCCCCAATACCAAGTCCAACGGTTGAAGATTATTCCCTTGTTCATGAATTTGTTGATTATGAACGATTCCCTTGTTTAGGAATGTAATGTAATTAATTTTTATAATTGTTTGTGTTTAATAGCGTTAAAGTGCAAATGGAAAATCCCAAATTGTTAAACCAATCCAAAACTTTATAGCTTTACTTAAATAATTATGTACATATTCATTGCATTGCATTCAACTAAATTCTTGATTTTCCATGAAAATAAAATTATTATTATCAAAACTATAGATAAATTATTTATTTTTAGGGTGAATTACACAAATAATCCCGACTATATGGTAATACTTTATTGAGTTCTTCAACTATTAAAAGTTAAAAAAAGTCCCTCAACTATAGGATATTATTTTGTTGAGTCCTCCGACTATTAAAAGTCACCAAATGACCACCTGATTGTTCATATATTGCAAACTTATTGACCATCTGAGTTAAACATTAACTTATTGACTGAAATATGATAAAATCATATTTTAATTATGTTTACTGGCACCGCCGTTGCTTTTAAGCACTAGATCGACAACATAATGTAAATGGAGAGTCAATCCAAAAAATACAACTCAAACGGTTCTAGGATCAAATTTTATCATATCTCAGTCAATAGGTTAACGTCCAACTCAAACGTTCGTCAATACTTTAACAGAAAATGACAAATTTGGAACATGTGAATAGTTGAGGGACTATTTTATAACTTTTAATAGTCGATTGAGGGACTATTTTATAACTTTTAATAGTCGAGGACTCAACAAAATAATATCCTATAGTCAGGGGAGCATTTGTGTATTTTACCCTTATTTTTATATGAAAATAAATAAATGTGTTTATTTTCTGAAAAAAAAAATATATAATTAAAATTATATATTTATAACTACACAAAATTAAAAAAATACTATAATACGCATTTAATCAAAACTGATGTTTAAATTAGCTAAAATAAATAAGTTTTAAGTTTTAATTTGTATAAGCAGGTAAACCATTAATCTTTCATCCCATTAAATTATATTTTCTTTTTAAAAAATCTTCCATTCATAACAAAATATACTAAAAACATAAATCAACATTTCCTTTTAGATAAAAGCTTATTTAGGTATAATCCAAAAGATTTTGCTTAAGGGAAAAGTATATGAATTTCCTTAAAAATAAAATGATTCAATGTTTTTATAAATATTTTGATAAAATCTTTTAAAAGAAATGGTTGGTTTGGTTTGAAATTTATTACTATTATTTGTCTTAAGTCGTCTATTGCCAGCCGATGTTAGCAATTTCTCTCTATGAGTGTGAGACTATATTCAGTGTTTCTCCTAAACACGTTATTTAACATAAATTTAGTTTCACGAACCAATAGACCTCAGTAATAAAGAAATTGTTGTTATTCTTTAAGATTCTGGATTCGAGTACCATGAATGCCAAGAGTATGAAAATTCAATGTCAAAAAATTGAGAGTTATTTTTAAACAAATACTACTTTATACTTATCCCGGATTAAAAATAAAAAAATAGTTATTGTCTCTAAAAAAAATTATTCTTATATATATTATCATAGATAATTATATCAATTTTGCGCACATTGAGTGATTTTAGTGGTTAAAGGAAATGTAATTCTTTCTTGAGGTCCTGAGTTTGAACAAATGTATATGTAGGGTGTGTACATTGTCAATAATTGAAAAATATTATGAACAAATATTACATTATAATCAATATATATATATATATATATATATATATATATATATCAATTTTTATTTTTATAGTTATTTTATTATAGAATTTTAATTTTTTTTTCTTTAGTGATTTAAGGTTTCGAAGTGAGGTCGAATCAGATAGGGTTGAGACAGATTTTCACTCTTAAATTTTAGGTCAAATTTTAGACAAGTGAGACTCCTCTAAAATTTGACCCATGTCTATTTCTAATAACTAACTATATATTATCTATTTTATAAAAATCAAATATTTAATATATATTTTGTAATTTATATAAGTTTAATGTCTAAAATAATTATTTTAAAACAGTTTTAGTGGTATTTTTAATTTACACAAATTATATTTTCAAAAGTTCGCAATCTTAAAAACATACACTTTAATGATCTAATGGTTATGAATTAATTTTTAAAATTGATATAACTAAAATCAATATTAATGTTACACCAATAAAGACATTTATAGATGCAACGATACTTACTAATTTGTTCAAATTTTACATTCTAATGATGAAGTATACAACCATGGTCTTACCTATCATAATTTACTACTTTGCTAAAATATTATTAATATGTCAATACCATCTTTCTAATTATTTATTAATATATTAATTATTTATTAATTTAAATATTTAACTATAGAAAAAATATTAGAAAATAATCTCTACCGTCTATTTTCATTTATTCAACAATATTTAATCAATATAAAACTTTTAATTTTACATTGTATAACTGAATCTCAATCATGATTGAAAATGA